ATAACCCTTCATCAGCTCTTTCGTCAAACGCTCTTAGATGATTCTTTCCGTTGTTATGTATGAAGCATCTGCAACCAAAGACATGAAAATAACCGATACTAGGTGTTTTACCTTTCCATAACTCATATGGTGTCTTGTTGTGAGATTTGTTGATCAAGGATCTATTTTGTGTATAGCATGCCGTGTTTATGGCTTCAGCCCAAAATCTCTTAGGTAGTCCTGAGTGAGAGATCATCGTTCGTGCAGCTTCTTTCAAGGTTCTGTTTCTTCTTTCGGCTACTCCGTTTTGCTGAGGAGTTCGTGCTGCCGAAAGTTGGTGGAAAATTCCGTTTTGCGCACAAAATTCCTTTATGACTTTGTTGACAAATTCCGTTCCCTGATCTGATCTTATTCGTATTATTTTGAGCTCCTTTTCTGTTTGAAGTTGTCTCAAAAGATTTGGAAGAGCTGTTTCTGTTTCATTCTTCTTTTTCAAGAAAAGCACCCATGAATATCTTGTGTAGTCATCTACTATAACAAGAGTATACTTTCTTCCACTCAAACTTGCTGGATCAACTGGTCCAAAGAGGTCCATATGTAGAAGGCTTAGAGATCGAGACTTTGCATCTACATCTTTTGACTTGAAGGATGACTTGAATTGTTTTCCTTTTTGACATGCCTCACATATTTTATCTTTCGTGTAAGATGCTTCGGGTAGCCCTCTTACGAGATTTCTCTTGGCAAGCTTGTTTATCGTCTTCAAGTTCAGATGACTTAGTTTGTTGTGCCATTCTTGATTGAGATCTGCATTACTTTTGGCTACAAGGCAAACGTTAGCATTAGAAGAATTTAAAGATAATACATACATATTCTTCTTTCGTTGTCCCGTTAAAGCTGTCTTGTTATCTTTCGTGTTCACGATTTTGCATTCGTCTTTGAGAAATTCTACTTTGTATCCTTTGTCACAAAATTGACTTGTGCTTAGAAGATTGAACTTCAGTCCTTCAACATAAGAGACATCTTGAATTGTTATTCCCTTGTTGATGATGTCCCCTTTTCCACGAGTTTTGCCGCTATTTTCACCTCCAAAGATAACTTTGGGTCCATCAAATTCCTTAAAGTTGCTCAACATTGTTTTGTCACCAGTCATATGTCTTGAGCATCCACTATCAATATACCATATGACCTGTTTTTCCTGCATCAAAGATTATGTGTTTTTAGGTACCCATTTAGTTTCGGGTCCTTGGGGGTTAGCAGTCAACTTTGGAACCCATATTAACCTAGAGTATCCACGACTCATCCTCGGTCCTCTATATCCATTGGAAGTGCGATAATCATAATGGATGCTGGCAAAGACTTTAGCATTATATTTCTTACGTTGATCTTCCTGAGGAAGATTTTCATAATGCTTGAGATGATTGGTTTGTTTACGCAGATGAATCATTTCAAATACTGCTCTTGGGAGAGGTTCTGGGTAATCAAACCAATCTTCTTCTGATGGCCCAGTCCATCCATTGCCATACCCAGATCTTTTGAAGGATCTTTCGGGTTGTCTGATTTGTCCGCTTCTTGAGATTCCTTGTGCAGGATTCTTTCGTGTGAATTTTGGACGATATTGCCTCTGGTTACCATTCGTCTTTTTGTTGGATTGAGTGTTCCAGTTAGGCTGACCCTTTTTATGGCGTGGATTCTGTTTATTGTTATTTGGTCCATTCCTTTTGACATAGATTTGTCTAGGATTGCCATTACTAGATTTCTTCTTTCCAGATTCCACAATTCGTTGTACAGCCATACCTTTCGGTTGGCTTGTTGATTGTGGTGTTTCGACATTGTTAACTACCATCATAGGCTAAGACACCTGGGTGGGTCCTTGAACAAATGCGGCCTCGAAGCTTTCGTGTGAATATGCATTCGTGGATTTGTTCAATTCGACTTGTGAAGAGGAGCTGGGGTTAAAACCAATTCCAGTTCTTTCCCCGGGCAGTCTGGATTCATTCATCATTCTATCCATTAGGTTGGATGAATTATTGAATTTATCCAAAACTTCAAGCAATTTTTGCTCTCTCTTCTCTTTTGCTGTGCACAGCTCCTTTAGAGCGAGAACATCTTTCTCAAGCTGCTCCTTAGCAATGACTAGCACATTGTTCTCAATACGAACTTGCTTTAGTTCATTATAGCTAAGCATGAGCCGAGAGTTCTCCTCCTTGAGTTTGGAGTAAGTGTTATTTATCACATTGAACCTCCTTATCATTTCGGTGACAGATTCATTGGAGGTAAGACTTCTCACAGAACTCGACTCAGCTGAATAACAAGAGGATGAATGACTATTTACCTCGTCTTCATCTGCCATGAGACATAGTTCGTCTGACTCTTGACTGAATAGGCACAGCAGTCCTTTCTCCTCATCAGTGCTTTCGTCTTCTGAACTAGAGCTTGAGGAGCTACTTTCGGTTGCGACTGTGTCAGAAGTTTCGTTTACTACCATTGCCTTCCTTCTTCCTTCCTTTCTGGAGTTTGATGATTCAGGTTTGTCGCTTCTTTTATATCTTTCTCCAGTCTCTTTTGAGGGACTTGTGGTAGCATTGTTATCTTGATGTTTGCTTACTATGGGATGCGGACAGTTCGCCTTGAAGTGTCCTGGCTTTCGGCAATTATAGCACAATAGCTGAGAGTCCATGGTTTCAGATTTTGAGGTTTGAGGGAAGTTCTCATGCTTCTTTCGGTGGCTCGAACGTTGTGGATCTTGAAAGTTGTTCTTTCTCATGAATCTTTTCATTTTCCTGACAAATAGTGCATATTGTTCATCAGATAAAAAATCACAAGAGTTAGGTTTCGACCTGTTGGATGTTGATGCTGATTGATTTGCCACGAGAGCAATGTTTCTTGTTTCTGAATCTTCGGCATCCTTTGGTTCATGTTCGAACTCATAAGCTTTGAGATCACTGAAAATTTTGGCAGTGCTTGTTGTTTTCATATCTCGACTGTCCCCCATTGCAATAACCTTCATTTCCCATGATTTAGGTAGACCACGAATGATCTTCAGATTCATTTCCTTCTCAGTGGGTTCTTTTCCAAGATCTGATAAATCGCCCATCAGTCTGGTGAATCTAAGTTCCATATCCATGATTGATTCATTTGTCAGCATTTTAAAATCTTCGAATTTTTTCATAGCCATTGTCAGCTTGTTGTCCTTTTCTTGCTCGTCTCCTTCTCCCAAATTCATTAGGACATTCCACACATCCATAGCATTCTTGCATTTTCGGACTCTGGGAAACAGGGAATCATCCAGAGAGTTGTAGAGAATATTTCTTGCTACATTGTCCAGATTCGCTCTTGTTCTTTCTTCTGAGGAGTACTGGTCTTTTGGTTTTAGTATCATTTGTGGAGCTCCTGCTCCCTGTGCGGCTGCTTGAGCATTCGCCATCATGATTGTGATTGGTCCGGTTGTTACGACGTCCCACATTTCATCATGAATGGAGCATAGGAGAGCCTGCATTCTTAACTTCCAGTCATCAAATTTAGCAAGACTAAATGCAAGTTGTTTGGAGCGATGAGCATGTTCCTTTTCCATTTAAAAAAAAAACGTGCAAAGAAAATATGCAAGATTTTCAAGAGATTTTTGAATAGGGATCTGCCAGGCAGTAAATGCAAAGCCTTTACCGATCAAGGTATTGGCTCTGATACCACTTGTTGGTCCCGATAGAATGAGATGAGAGTCTAGAGGGGGGGTGAATAAACTCTTTTCGTTAGAAGCCCTAAACGTCACCTTTCGGTGTCTTGGCGCAGCGGATAAGATAGATTTGTTTTAGATACTTTGCACGAGTTTGCGTAATTAGACAAACTTTCGGTAACGATAATAAAGGAATGATATGAGAGCAAAAAGGAAAAGCGTAAGTAAAGAGATAGAGAGGACACGAGATTTTATAGTGGTTCAGCCAATGTTGCCTACTCCACTCTTCTTCCACAACTGTTGGAAGGATTGCACTATCACTCTTAGTACAAATACACAAAGACTTCCTTGATCACTAAGCCGGACAGCCTTCGTAGGTTTTTCAACTCCTCGAGTTTACTCCGCCTCTATCAACTTCTTCTCCTGAGTTGAGGTTGGTAGAAAATGATTTATTGAATTCTCCAACGATGAGGTCTTGACTCTGAGATATGATTGCTTCAAACAAATGTCAAGACTTCCTTGAGGTGTAAGACAAATGATTCTTCAAGTAACTTAGCACCTCAAAACTGGTTCACAAAAGCTTTTAGTAAATTGTAGACTTTTCAAGAGCTTTTGTAAGTGAGTAAGTCGAGTGATAATCAACCAGCACCTTCTTAGTTGATGAAGGTGAGTTTATATAGGTGATGAAAATCCATCCGTTGGAGGGAGATGAAATTTTCGAACCTTTTAACCATTGGACAAGGACCGGGGAGCTTCATGCATTAAATGCTCCATTAATGAGGTTGTACCATGTAGCCGTTGAAGGTATGGAAAGCATTGGGGTTTTGTCCTTTAGCTCCAAGAGACGGTACATCTTCATTTAATGCTTCTTGAAAAGTGTGTCCCATAAGATGAAGTCCTTATTGTCCTAGGATGTTGTCAAATCAGACAGGTGAAACATTCTTCTCGTTGTTGAAGAGAAGTAATGCTTGATAAAGATCGTCTTTCACAAACACTGTCCTTTCGTGCTTGTTGACAACTCCTGCTTGACTTTCGTTGTTGTTCTTCATGTCTCGTGTCTTCTTTCGCCTTGGAGACCCTAACATCTAGTCATAACTCATTTTCGTGTGTTTGTCTAGCTTAACACGAATTACAGAGGAGTTATGGCAACTCTCGTCTAGGACGAAAGCAGCGATTAAAAAAGCTAATGGTTAGGGGTTTACTTTTCTACATTACATTGGTATCATCAAAATCCTAATACAATGTTCCTAACAATTATTATTATTATTATTATTATTATTATTATTATTATTATTATTATTATTATTATTGTTACAGGGTTCAAAATGAACATCGGGAAATAACCACCTTTATGGCTACTTTCTCTGCAGAACTAGGTTAGTTGATTTTATATATAAAGCTCCGTTGCCAAATATTTACGCATTTGAATTATTTATTGAAAATATTATACACACACATATTAAGACATTGTTTTTTCATATGAATATATGCAGCAAAAAAAAAGGAGGAGGAATCTTATGAAGCATTGTGAAATGCATTATATCACGGCTCTTCTGATAACTTACAAGTTTTCAAATTAATGTTTAATGTCAAAGATGATGAGGATATAATATTTAGATCTACTAGGTCGAGCGCGGTAATGTTTTGAATCTAAACAGCCATATATTTCGATCAATATAATTCCATACCAATACTACGGCAGTACTTCTGTTTTTTTTTTTTTTTTTAGAAAAAATTTATTGAACTAGATTTGTTTAATTAATTATATTATATTTGGATTTACTGAACTATTTCATCTAGCTATTATATGTATTATGCAATGTAAAATTTAAAACGTAGTACAATCATATAAAATATATGGCTGCGATTAGTTCTTAGGTCCTACCTAAATGAAGGTTCTTATATACTGTATGTTTTATTCCCAATGTGTATATATACTAGATATATTCTTCCTAATTTAAGCATTCAATTCATAAACTTTATTTTGCATGCCCTAATTATTGCTATTATGGTACGGTGTGTATACACAATTGGGTGGAGTTTTTGGCTAAGGGAAAATAATTGATTGGGTTAAGAATTATTAGGCTTAATTGCATTCCATTCTTATATTTCTGTTTATATGTTAGGCGGCATTATACAATTGGAGAACGAGATTAGTGATGCTGCTAATAACATCAGGTGTTGGCGTCCCAATAGAATGGATTCATTTTTTAAATTGGGTTTACTACAGATCAGGTGTTGGCTTCCCTGCTGTTATTTGGATCCCAATCACACAGGATGATGCATCATGGAGCACTGAGTATGAGCAACAATGTCATAAATTAAGCTTCTTTTGGTTGAATGATCCACAAAAAATGATGAGGCCACAATTCACAAGATTTGTTAAAGAAGAGTTGTTTCAAATGGGATTGGGAGAGGAACCCATAATTGTTTCACTTGACAGCGAAAAGGAGAAACTTTTGTGGCAACAACAAACTGCTTGGACTCTTCATCTCCTGGCACCACAATCTGGCTACTATTACAGAATTGTCAAACCAATAAATGATTGGGTAACCCCACATTCAAGTAACTTTGTGTTTTCATGTATATATATATATTTATTTATCAATTAGCTAATATGTTTTTCTTTAATTTTCAGATTCGTGAGGAAAAATATATTTTCTTATATGGAGGAAACAACATTAAATGGATTCGAGAATTCCTTAGTAAGTCACGTGAAGTTGCCTCCAAAACCCAAATGAACTTTGAGTTGGCCTACTTTGGGAAAAACAAAATGATAAGAGGATTCATATATAAAGAAAGTTTGAGTTATTGCCCATTGTATGATTCTAGTGCAGTATGGTGGTTTTGGGCCCGTCTTCGAAGTATGTTTTTGTCAAGAATTCAATATTTAGAGATGACTAATCACCTTGTCAAAGAAAACAACAATGATGAAATTTTGCAAGGATTCAAAAAATTATTATCCTATGAAAGCAAGAATGCAACAACTGAAGGATGGGTGTTATTAAGCAAAGGATCAGAAGTGGTTGTATGTAGACATGGAAGTAAAATGTTGCAAGCCATGAATGACTATGAGATTTGGAAGGAAAACATAGATGCCACCAAAAGTTTTGGCCAGGCACTCAAAGACCACCATGAGATGCTTTCCAAGGATAAGCATTCTTGTTGTACTCTTGAATATCTAATTACCTTGAGCAAAATTCCCAAAAATAAAAGATGCCCTGAATGCTCTCGTTGTATGCAGAAGTTTTTAACTTTCACTTGTTGCCATGGTGATGATTGATGTTGATTATGAGGGAGATGAGTAGCGCTAGATTCATGGTGCATTTGATTTGTGAAATTTTATTGACCTTAATGTTAATTTTCTTACTTTCAAAAAAAATGTTAATTTTCATTACCTTACATTTTTATTTCAACTTAACTTTTAGCCATTTTGGACTTTTAATTCTGACGTTATTTTAATAAAAAATCATTGAACTTTTTTTTACCTCCCAAAATGAAATTTTCAATTGATTGTTTTTTTAAAACAAATTTATATATTGTGTATTGTGTGTAAGAGATATGGGGTTAGTTTGAACAATAATGAAATAACAACGATAAAATAAAATACAAGGTTTCAAGTTTTTAACTCCTAGTGATCACAATGAGTAGTTATGTTGTGCATCCGTATGCACCATGCATGGTGCATACGGATGCAAAAACGACGTCGTTTTATTAAAAACGCGCGTCTCCCCTTAAAAAAAAAAATCAGGTTCGATTCCTAGCAACAGCATTATGTTGTTCATTCATTCTGGAATTTTAGTTCATAGATTATGGAATTTTAGTTCATTGATTCTGGAATTATAGTTCATCGATTCTGGAATTGTAGTTCATCGATTCTTAAATTTTAGTTCATAGATTCTGGAATTTTAGTTCATTCATTCTGAAATTTTTAGTTCATATATTAGATTCTGGAATTATAGTTCATCAATTATGGAATTATAGTTCATCGATTCTGAAATTTTAGTTCATATGTTGTTGCTGGGAATCGAACCTGAATTTTTTTTAAGGGGAGACGCGCGTTTTTAATAAAACGACGTCATTTTTGCATCCGTATGCACCATGCATGGTGCATACGGATGCACAACATAATTTGCCGATCAGAATGGTTTATTGGCTTTCTTGGCTTGAATTAGATAGTTATGGACAATCTAGGCTGATTTATTCTTTTATGGGCTTTTGCCAGCTAGGATCACGTACAAGGCAAGGTTTACACGGCAAACACCAGCAAGTAGTGGCTATGGCACTACAAGAAAAATCGCGATTCGCGACGGAATATTTCCGTCGCGAAATGGACAATATTCCGTCGCGAATCGCGATTCGCGACGGAATGGTGACGGAATTTATTCCGTCGTCTATCACGTTGTCGTATTTCGATAGACAACGGAATAATTCCGTCGCAACTTTTGGCGACGGACTTCGTGACGAAATACTTCCGTCGCCAAATGGCAACGGAAGTATTCTGTCGCTCATTTCGCAACGGAACTTTTCGCGTCGCAAATCCGTCGTTATTTCTGAACTGAATATTCCGTTGCCATATTATCTTTTCCGTCGCCCCTTTCGCAACGGAAATGTTTTCCGTCGTAATTCCGTCGCATCGTTTGCAACAAATATTTCGTCGCAAATCTTATATTCCGTCGCGGTTTTGAATTATTTTAAAATAAAATTATGATTTTAAATAGTAATGAATGTTTTTAAAATATTAATATAAAAAATACTATTAATTTTAAAATAAAAGATAACATAATTCTAAATTAAGTTCAAATAATAATACATTACTAATCCACATTTCGTACATAATATAATCGTCAATTCAACTCTAAACATCATAATAATACATTATCAATCCACACTTAATACATAATAATAGTCAATTCAAGTCTAAACAAAATTAACAAACAACCATTAAAATCAATTGATTTGAGATGAAGGTGATGATGAAGTACCCGCTCTCCCGCCATCAATAGCATCAAGTCGTTGTTGCATAAGGAGAATAGTGTCCTTCAAACTCTGAATTTCCTGTTGTACATTTGCAGAAGTAGAAGTAGCATTGTCGGGTGGTCGCGATGTTGGTGTCATATTGCCTGAAGTGTTATCATTAGTTGGACCATGAACAACAGAACAACCATATGAACCAAGTCCATAAACTCTTCTTTTCTTGTCGTGTCCACCAACCGCGTCATAGTATAATTGATTGTCATCCACCTGCTCCCCATTTTCTGCCAACATCTCCCGTTGTGATTCAACTTGTTCCTAAAATATGTAAGAAATTTAGTACAAAATTGATGGGGATATTGGAGGTGGGCCATGAACATAGTGGGCTTACATTATTGGGCCGAGAAAGGAGGACTGGGTGGCCAGGACTGGCCGCCGGCGCTGGTCAGCGCTGGCGGCCGGAAAGGGATGCCGGCCGGGGATGGTGGCCCCAGCGCGGCCGGAGCACGGCCCAGCGTGGGCCTAGCGCCCCGGCGCACTGGGGTGGTCATGGCCGGCCCCGGGCGTGGGGCCGGCACCGGTGGCACACTTAGCGCGGCCTAGGCGCTCCGGCGCGCCATGGTGTCGGACGGCACCCGCACGCATGGGGCGGGCGGGTGCGCCGAGCATGATGGACCGGGGGCGGCGTGTGCAGAGTGTTGGAGGCGCGGGAATCCCACGAGTATGGCGAACGTGTGGATTGGTGTACGGGAAAGGAGGGAGTGGGTCTGAGCGCATGGGACACGTGGATGTTTGGGAAGGGAGGAGGCAGGCTATAAATAGGGCCCCTAGATCTTTGGCTAAGGGCAACTCAGACACGACAGGCACTACGGTCTAGTGGTCTTGATCTCATACTCTCAATCCAGTCACCTAGGTTCGATTCCTATCAGTAGCATAGTCAGCTATAGCCCATCCTGTGGGCCTTGTTCTTTGTACTTGGGTTGCTGTTCTTGGGCCTGTACCTCGGGCTTCTATACGCATCGTGTTGGGCCTAGCGCCCTACCCCCGTTCTGTACTCTTGTACCCGGTTTATGGTGGATCCGGTCCCAATAAAACCATCAAAAATATATGTAAAGGCATATATATTTTAAAAACTTAAAATAAATTAAACTTACATGAATTTGTTTGGCTTTTTCAACTATGAATGTTAGTCCTTATTATCGATATGGCATTATAATTTTATTATCTTTTTCACATTATTAATAATTTATTTAATCGCAATAGTCGACTTATATACTTATAATAGATAGAAGTAAGAGAAACAAATCTTAAACCTAGATAACAGTAAACAATATTTGGCATATAAGGGTGGTGCATGTAAATGTTGTTCATGAATTTATTAGCTTTAAACAAAGAATTAAGGATGAAATATAATTCAGTGTTGATTCAGTTTATTGTTTTTTGGAAATCTTAGTGATGAATGATGCCATAGCACATGTACACTGTGTGAATGTTTTGTGAACATTATAATTAATGTTTTGTCTTTCTTCCTTTCAACTACCCAAGGTTTAATTATTTTAAGGAATCATTGCCTCCATGAATTAGTTTTCTTTTGTTGTTTTGTAATGGTTTTGAAAATGTGCCGTGAATCTTGAATTAAATTATATTTTTAATGTTCTACTTGTTTTAGAAGAGATATTACATTATTAATTAATTAGGTTATTTAATGAACATAAATAACGAAATATAAATACATAAAAATAAAACAAGTACTCAGAGATTGATCACGCAGTTCGGAGCGTTTTTCCTACGTCTGCGGGGCAACTCACGTCTGCCCAATCCACTATAGATGTTCACCAAGGAGTATTACAAGAGGTAAGTACAAATGGCCCTCTGCCTTTACCACTACAACACCTTCCTAACATCCACTCAGGATTGTACGTGCATGCCGTGACGATCTTCAACCGAAGCTTTAGCTGTACCAGGTATTGTCTGTGCAGACCAGAATTGAACTACAATAATAATAATATAATTTAGCTGATTAATTTAAATAGCACTTGTGTAGATTTCACTCAATATAGCAGTTCACAAAAAATGGCAATTTCCTCTTTGGAGAGGCTTCCTTTTATAGCTGTTCAATCCAACACTGTGATCCTTAGAATCAGCATCACATTTCCTTCGATTAATCACAGCCACACCCTTCATTTGAAATCTTCACTGTAATGCCTTTTCTCTTTTTAAAATCCAATGCTTGTCATCCACTTAAAATAACTTTTGGTGATAGAAAGTGGTCCGATCCAAAAGATTTAAACTAATCTTAAAAACAATTTAAATCTAATAAAAGAAAACTAAATAAATTAGCCAATAAAGGTTTTAATGTGTACTAAAATTGTACACTTAAAATCTCCCCCTTTGGCAATTTATTTGGTAAAAACTACAGTATCTTATACCTTGGGCAAATAAGATAAACAATTTTATTCAAGGCCCTTAGTATATGTACTGAACAATATCATAAGGTGAGAATTAAATAGGCAATTACCAAAAACCCTTTTGGACCATGTTCCATCCATGAACCCGCTATATTAAATATCACGTAACATGTACCGTCGAAGGATCCATGAGGCTTCACACTTCATAAAATAAGCATTGACCAACCACAATACACAATAGATGAATTAGCCAAATAAAGGCTTTATACTTGGCGAGAAGAGTGATATATTAATCAGAGATTACCAAAAAAGAGTACCATAGAGTAGCCATAGAGTAGTAGTACCAAAAAGAATTACCATATGCAGCAGTCATAGTCAAGCTCTTACTTCCCCCTTAATCCAACAATTTTACCAAAATCCAACAAAACCAAACATTCAATAGTTTTACCAAAACTCCCCCTTATTCCAACCATACTCCCCCTTAGTATATACTCCCCCTTTTGCCAATAAATTGACAAAGGTGAACATCTATATTAGTGGATTGAGTCTGACGGAGTGCCCGATAGAATTGAACCTGCACAAGAAAATTAGTAACGAAAAACATGCAGAACTTGATAACATATAAGCACAAAAAGACCCACAAATCAACTTGATAACATATAAGCACATAAAGACACACAAATCAAGTTGGAGCAGATTAAGTAGATAAAATATACCAAGTAATACACACATTCAAGCACAAATTCGTAGCAAATAACACAAAAAGCACACAATTGGGCCACTCAAAAAGACAGATTGGTTAATAAGACAGTAAGCACATTCAGGTAAAATAGGAGAGTCAAACACAAACTAACCAAAACCCATCTCAATTTTTTTTTTAATTAGAACAAGAATCCAAAATATTACAGCTGATATAGAATCCATAACCTGAGCTGCATCAACAAGTCAAGACCAAAGGACAACAATATATAGTGGAAATGGATATCTCAATAATTCATATACAAACCAAAATTTTCAGAAGATCAAGATTTAAATAGACAAAATATACTATTCAAACCGATCTATATGTTGTTCAACCAGAACAAGCACCCAAGACCTTGCAGGTGACATCAAAGCCATTATCTGAATTACATCAAGCCAAGACAGAACAATAAGTAAATGGATGGGGAAAACATTAGGAACAGATCAATTAGAAAACCAAACTTCATGAATCAAGCATAAGATAACAAAACACAACTTAATCAAACCCATCTATGTCATTCAACAAGTAACCCAAAACTTTGTAGATGAAATTAAATCCCCGACCTGAACTACACCATCAAAGCCAAGACAGGCATACCAACACTAAACACTCAGAAACACAAGTGGCAAGGATAAGAAATTTCAAGAAAACCAAGCCTAGGATAACTGAGTGTGTATTGATCAAACCGCTCCGTTTCATTGCAGATGGAATCAAATCCACAAGCTTATCTACATCAACAAGAAAAGATTTACAAACATAATCCATGATTAACAAACAATAACTTCAAGTGATGACAGACTTATGGACAATAATAATGTACCAACGGAGTAAAATTAAACAGAAATTTTCCTGAAAATCAAGCATAGGATAACCAAACAATAATTGTCAAATGGATCCATGTCTTTCAACCAAAAGAAATTCAAAAGCTCGCCTCTGAAATCGAATGCACAAACCGAAGTCATGACAGACATACAAACAATAACTAATCAAACACAGACTATCTTAAGCAACCAATCAATATAAACGTTAAATTTCCAGAAAAACAAGTATGAGATAACTGAACGCGTATTGATCAAACCGATCTATTTCCTTCAACTACAACACAATCAAATCATTGTTACTTGACACCAAATCCACGGTCTGAGCTACATCAACATGAAAGGCACACAGACGAACATGAGTAATTGGAAAAAGACATGTTTGGCATTCGATCAACACAAAACCAAAATTTCCAGCAAAATCAAACATACATATTTTAACACAGGAAAAAATAACCTAAGCAAAAATAGGTTTATCAGTTCAAAAGCACTCAAAACAACGCAAGTAGAACATTTAGGAAACACATAGAAAACAGTCAAGAACAAAACACAAAGAATCAATCCGCAATTTAGAGTAGTAGGCAACGAAAATGACTAATTGCGAGAAAATTAAAAAAATGGGAATAGAGGGCAAATCAACCATAGAGGGACACACTCCAAATAAAAATTAAGAGACATATATGCAATATGAGAGCATGTAGGAACAGAACCAATAATTCAAAAGATAACTTTCCTGATCTTGAAACAGATCCTATCACAGATGCAGAATATTACACAGGCAAGGATGATGAATAGTCAAGATTTGATGAAAGCAAGTATATTGAAGTAGAGGGCACCAATTTAGGTAACAAAACACATAAAAAAATCCAGCTTTTGACATAGGAATATTTGCAAGTATTTCATAAGACACATTAGACAATGACACCAAAAAAAAAAAAAATTCAAGAAATTAACGAAAGGAATTGAAGATTAATGAACCTGTAATTCTTAATTACAACCCTCAATTGCAAATTTGTCAATTTTCATTTTGAGATGCCTTAGAAATTTCCTGAGCTATAGCTTAGATGTCCCAGCTTTTTGATGCCATAACTCAGCTTCATCAACACTAGACCTGCAGAAAAACAACCTTGTTGGTAAGAATGTAGCAATTGTCAGTTGACCTCTTACCTTCCATAACGCATTGATTTGCGTTGTCCAGGACACTGCAGGTATTTTTGGTGAAGGACACGTTCCAATTTTGTTCGCAAAGTTGGCTTATACTTATGAGATTTTCACGAAGACCATTCACAAGCAGTACTTTTTCTAACTTGGGTAGGCCAGTCACATTTAGAGTGCCTACGCCGGTGACTTGACCGTTAACACCGTCACCAAAAGTGACTTCACCTTTGCTAGCCTTCACGTTGCTTAGAAATTTGACATTTTCTGTCATGTGACTAGAACACCCACTGTCGAAATACCACTGCTCTTCTCGTACTGCACTTTTAGATTGAAAAGAGACAAACGAAATATAGTCAGTCTTTTTAACCCAAATCTGTTTTGTAAAGGGTTGGATGTTCTTGTGCCTGAACTTCTCGATTCTTTGATCCTTGTAAAAGTAGTAGCATTCGGGTCTGGTATGACCACGCAACCTGCAATAATGACATACGGGGTTATATAGTTTGTACTGTTGCTTGTTTGACCTTACTATACCACTATTATATTTCGTTGAGCTGGATTCAGGAATGTCTCCTGGATCAGGTCTAGACGCTTTGACAAATACCGTTTTATCCTTTGAGTTGCTTCCGATGAAACCCAAACCGAATTTTGCAGAAGTTTTTCTTCCGGAATCAAGGATTTTGTCATGTGTTGAAGTGGTGTCCATCATTTGGATTTGTCGTTTGTAGGTGCTTAGCTCCTGTTTCAGGGTCTGTACCTCCTGTTTCAGTCTCTCTTCTCGGGCAGATGCCTCTTTAAGAAGCAGATCCCTATCAGCTATTTGAGTTTGATACACTTTACTAGCATTTGTTACAATCCCTATCTCACTAGCCAATTTGCGATTTTCTTTTCTTATGGCTTCCCATTTGGGGTACAACTTATTAAACTCAACTTCAAAAGATAAAGCATTTAATTCTAAATCTTCCGCTGAGACATATTCACCTCCCTCTGAGTCAGCTCCTTCTTCAAGTTCTGAACATCCAGCAATACGTGCAGTAAAAGCAACAAAATTACCCGAGATTTCTTCGAC